CAGGGATGTGTCCTTAGCCCCCTCCTCTATACCGTGTACGTTATGGAGTTGGATAGAGTGTGTTCTCCGGGATGCAAAGTATTACAGTATGCAGACGATGTCTGCTTCTACACATCTTCATCGGAGGTAAGTGAAGGCCTGGCGGTTCTCGAAAAGTCGGTTGAGAATGCCATTGGGGCTCTGGACCCACTTGGCTTGGATCTCTCAGCTGCAAAGATCCAGCTGTGTGTTTTTAGCTGGAAGGACAGAAAGTTGATGGAACCCGTGTATACGGGCGGCAGATTGTCGTATAGGCGTCAATCTCCATGGATTACAGTGCAGGGGGTTAGAGTGGTCTCGTCACCCAGAGTAAGGTTTCTCGGAATGACTTTTCAATCAGACTTGGGCTGGACACATCACGTGTTAGGTCTGGAGAGACGGTGTGCCAATTCGTTGCGTACGCTTAAGTGCCTCGGACGCACATGGTGGGGCGGGGACCCACGTTTGTTGTTAGGTTTGTATAGGGCTATGGTTTGATCCAGGCTGGAGTATGGAGGTTTCCTCCTTCAGGGTCTCTCTCGTAGGCTGGGCTCCAGACTGGACAAACTACAGATGCGCGCTTTGAGGATTGTTTTGGGGTATAGAACTTCAACTCCCTTAAATGTGATCTTGGGAGAGGCTCGGGAGCCCCCTCTGTTTGTTCGTTTCCGCTTCTTGTGCCGAAATTTCTTGTCACGAACGGCCACTATGACGGCCCACCCATTGTGGGGCTTGTTAAGCAGTATTCGATCATCTAGTTCGGGTCTCCCTGGTGCTAACCGGGTGGNTTCTTTCCCTCTCGTGAAAGCCTTTGACGAGGTAGACCGGTGGACCCGCCCCTTGTTTTCGTCAGATGTTCCGATATGGTTTGCTTTCGGNTTTAAACCATTGGTGTCAAGTTTACCGGTCGATCTCTTCGCCGGGTTTTCTGTACGAGAGNGGATTAACGCAGAGGCAAAGTTCAGAGAAGCTTTTGGTGAAGAGTTACAGAATTCAGTGTGCATTTTCACGGACGCCTCGAGGTCGGAGGGGGCTCCGTGTTCGGGGTATGCGCTGGTCTCTCAGGATGGACGTTATGTGCGTCGTTACAAGTCGGTGGGTTTCGTCTCCTCGTTTTGCGTGGAAGCCATGGCCATTGTCGAGGCTTTGGAGCTGGCACAAAGGAGGGGTGGCGGTCGGTCGCAATTTTCTCAGACTCAAGGTCAGTTCTCTCAGCGGTACAGGCTAAGTTCGTTCCGGGCAAAAGCTCGTACCTCGTGCTCCGGATCAAGTCTTTGGTCCTGGGGTTAACTGAACGGGGGGTGCGAGTAAAGTTGNTGTGGATTCCTGGTCACAGCGGAGTGGCGGGCAATGAACGGGCGGATGCCCTTGCTAGGGACGCGGTGGTGTGCGGAAGTAACTCCCAGGTGGGCGTCCCCTTGGGTAAAGGTAAGAATTTCTGGAAAGCAAAGGCAAGATCAGAGTTGTTGGAATGGTGTCGAGAAGAATCCAGAACTAGGGGTAGCTATTATTGCGGTCAGTTTTTGACCTATGCCCGAAGACCTTGGTTTGAGCAGTTGAACCTAAGCCGCAGGGCGGTGACCTCCCTCAATCGTCTCCGCAGTGGGCACACTTCCTTGCGCGCAAGCCTTTTCAGGTTCAGGATCGTGGACTCCCCCTTTTGTCAAACGTGTGGCCTTGAAGAAACCCCAAACCATGTTTTTTGGGAGTGCCCAGAATATGACAACCAAAGAAAGTTGTTACGGTCTGCCCTGGTCCGAGTAGTCGGACACCTCCCTCACCCAGTCGAGTTCCTGTTATCCTGTCTGGATAATGTGGTAACGGCAATAGTTTGCAGGTTTATATGTTCTTTACCTGTTTACATTTAAAAGTTAGTATAAGACGTGTTGAACTCAATGGAATTGTTTTGTTTACGTCCGTGAGTTTTTGTTTACGTAGTTAGTGGGAACTTTCGCTAGTTACCGTCCGCCGTGCTAAGAGTCAGCTTTTGTTTAGTTTTATCAATGTAAGAGACTTTACTTTGTTTGTTTTCTGATTACCTGACTCTTGCTATAGCGGGTTTATTAGTTTTAGTTTGCTTTGTTCTCTTAGGTCGTGGGTAGCTACTCCTTCTTTAGGAAGTCGTGTACGCGTAATCACTAGGATAACTTTGTAGTTTTAAGTTGCTTCAGACCCGACTCCGGTGGTTTCTGTGTTTTGTTAGTTTTAGTTCGGTTTCACTGTTAGTTTTTAGTTTTTGTTGCGGGGTAAACGAAGCTTAAACTTTGTACCTCTCGGTGCATTGTTACGTCTACCTCTGTGCGATAAACGTCGTGTACAAACCTTTAGCTTTAAGGTGCGTTTCAGGAGAGTGCCCTCTACACACTACTCCTGCGTAGTGCTACCCGTTTACTGTAGTCGTTTGATTTTCTGTATGTGACATGTACTAAGCCTAATAGGAGCGATTCCTGGGGCGTCTTTTTTACCTTAATAAAAAAAAAAAAAAAAAAGTATAGGGTTATTGTTCAGTGCTAATAACATACAAGCTATGCATGCACTGAATGCATTTGTTATTCAAGAGCAAATATCACTCTAAAAAAAAAAAATGTTAAAAAACATATCCCTCCCGTTCCGTGATTCACTTATTCTTTTGTCGAAACTTCCTCTACAGCTCCTATCCCTATCCCTATCTCTATCTCAGTCTGCTCGAAACACTTAAGGAAGACGTAAAATGGCGTATGGACTAACTTAACAGGTCCACTAAGCCATAAGAGCACCAAACCAAACCAACCTTACGTTGCTGCTGTTCGGTGCTTTTGATGATTTGTTTTTGACTACGTACGTATGATGTAGACCAGCGCCGGTTACATGCGATTTTCAAATAATTAGCAAATCATGATACTGTGTTAATTGTGCCAATTGACACGAATTGAAGGTCAGTTTTGATACAACTCGGATCGGTGACTGCAAACATGAGTGATAATGTTTTAACTATTATTTCTTGAAGGATCGTCAGCAGATACTTGTTTGTGCATGTATGTACATGTAATATGTATGTATACACTTGTGTCAACATGCAGAAGTACATTTCTGATAACTACAATTGTATCAACAGCCTCGTTAAAAACAAGCTCTTCACTATGGCCTCTGCTACGGAACAACAGCAGACCACGCTGGAGTTCTACCAGGCGATGGCAGACTTCAAAAACATGTTTCCACAGATGGATGATGATGTGATAGAGGTGAGAACATGCATAAATGTTTTTGAAATAAATACAATTTTTGTTTGGAATGACAGAAGAGGTATAGATGATATATACTTGCATGTATTTATCAGGCAGTACTAAGATCTAATCAGGGAGCTGTGGATACCACTATTGATCAACTGCTCACTATGAGTACTGACAATGAAAATGAGAAAATTAGAAGCGAATTAGAGCAAAAAGAGGAACCTCCGAATGCTATCAAATCACCTAAGAAAGACATTAGTAAGTCCTTAAAAAGTATTCAAAAATGGCAACCACCATTATTGGGACCATTGCCCGATACTTTTCTAAGACTTCCTCAACAAACATTAGACGACAGTATTGACTCATTTTCACAAGAAAATTCTATGATAGAAGATGAGAGAATTGCTATGTTCCTGCAGAATGAAGAGTTTATGGCAGAACTTCGTTGGAACAAAGACTTTTTGTCCACATTAGAACACGGTAAAAAATTTTGTATAGTTTAACTCTTTTTAGCTGCAAAAGACACAATATATTTTGTTTTATAGACTCAAAGCTAGAGAAATGCGGCGCCCAAACTGGTCACGACGATGAGGATTTGTTCAAAGAAAGATTGAAGAATATGGGCAAGTGTAAGCAAATAATTAAAACCTAATTATAAGTAAAAAACAAACTATTTGTTTTAATTTATTTGTTAAGATAACCACGCTTACAGTGTCTCGACGCAAATTCGCGCAACTTACCAAGGTGTTCACTCGCAGTAAGAAACGTGGTGGTAGGCAACTGTTGCCACCGACAGCTTCCTGTGATGATCTCCTAGAAGAGTCATCCAGACCTCAATCTTAAAGGGATAGTTTGTATTTATTGTGAGGACAGTTAAACACTTTATTAATGGTACTTGCAGCTTAATGTAATTTTAGATATCACAACATGGAAACAAGCATATCTATGTTGTTGTAACTTGCAAAAACTGCTAGGGTTACGTCAGGATCGTGTAAGATACACATTAATTAGCGATTTACGTTTTGGGCTTACAAACAATTCGCCGGACAATTGCTCGAAGATGATGTAGAAAAAAAATGTTAGCGCGCGAGAATAAACTCGTTTAAAAAGTGAGTATTAAAGAAAAGAATGCAAAACGATTGAAGATGATCAAAACATACGTATCTTGATATAAATATATCTAAACATAATTACATAAAGGAGAAATAGCGCATTATATTGATCTTAACACATTTTTCCTAGTGAGAATACACAGATCTGTTTCAATTCTTACAAACTTGATGTGATATTTTATGATATTGTGACGTAAAATTTTTATTATTATTATAGATTTTATTTATATGAAAATTTTATTATATATATATATAAATTTATATATATATATAACATCAAAGTATATGTATGTATATATTTTGTTGTAACGTATGTTACTTTGTTAGGTATGTTACTGTATGTTGCGATTCTTCCTATTATTGCATATAAAATACGTATAATTGTTTAAAAACTTTGACATTTGAAGTTTCGCAAAAAACTATCGAGCGATATTTTCAGAGAAGTATCGTGCGGAGATAGAAAAAACACTTAATTTCAACTTAAATTTGCAACTTAAAAATCAGAATTAATTTTTTTTTTTACACTTGAATGTGTGTGACAGGGCAAGCAAAAATTTACATGCACAATATGCGATTTGGTTTCGCTTTTTTTTCGAACATGTAAAAATAATTTATATCATGTGTATATATGTCTGTATTTATCTAATATAGTGTGTTATTGTTGTTAAGAAACATAATAATTTATTAGAAATGTAGGAAATGAGGAAATACTAATTTATATTATATTATTATACTTGAGATATACATTGTGCCTGCTGTATTTTGTTGAAATTCTACAATACTTGCTATTATACGAGTTCAGTGCTGTGAATTCTGTCACACTATTGTAACGAACAACCAGATTCAAAGAAACTTGAAACGCTGGTTGCGTTCAGCAGCACAAGTTGTTTTGTAGTAATCGAACGTGACTAGCTCTTACTTTTAGAACTAACTAATTAACGTCGCTAGTGTTGACCATGATGTAAAAAGACAAGATGATTCGTTGCACATAATGGCGAAACAGCCGATCAAGTTGTTGTTTCAAATTCAAATCAATTCAATTAATCATCAATTCATTCATCATCATCATTTTTTCATTCATTCAGTCTTCTTACATCATGGTGTTGACAAGAGGATAATTCAGCAGTTGTTTTGCTGAACGCGGCCACTGTGCTTTAAATGCCTTCACACACATACACACTTATTTCTTTGATTTTACTTACTACCACAAATAGTGTGTGCCATCGCACCTTCTTTAGATGTAATGAATCCTAGTCATTCAAATCTAGCCATTATTTATTGAATGGAAATTTGATATTGTAACAATAATGCGTACATTACACTATGACGCAATATATAGAGTTTCCCGTCGTCAATAGCGCGCGCTGTGCATCAAAATATTTCGATATATAACAAATTTTTCTCTAGACGGGATACTCCGTATATAAATATATAAAAAAGAGAGAATGTGAAAGAGAAACTCTAAATTATTATATTTACATGTGCTATGATAGCAAATATATGTAATGAAAATAAATTTAGAAAATGCTGAGTTAGAGTACCTTTACTTTCTATATACATTTGTCTTTTTTTTAATCGATAAATTGATTGAATAATCAATTATATCTAGTATCACAAAGAAGCATCAAAATATGTCAATGTATCGCCAGGTATCTTACATTATGCATCAGACTGCTTGAAAAACACTCTGGCGCCAGATAAACTATAGTACAGCAGCTCGAATTCAGCGTATCGTTCAGCAAGACGTTTAAGCGTCAACGCTCTCGTCTGTTGAAGTTTCTCGTCGCCGTGATCGTCTTTGTTCTCGGCGGCGAGCTTCTCCTGAGTGATATGTTGCTCTACTGTTTTGAACCAATGCAGACCGTCCAGTTCGGCGCTCTGATTGAGAAGCGCGTTGATGTAGGCAATACCCATGGCAAAACCGTCGTCGGTAAAGGCCGCGCCAGTCTGATTCTTCTTGAACATTTTTTCCTTATTGGACACAGAATTATCGACGAAGCTGAGTGTCAGCGGCGGCACGATGGCGTAAAACTGTTGCAAGTGATAAGATTTTGTATCACGAAATGCTGACGCAAAAACGTCCACCAGCAGTTTAAAATATTGAATGCCCTCGGTAAAATTGCGCACCAAATCGGCGATATCGTCTTCCAGGCGTCTGGCTGCAGCTTGTGTCGTGGCACTGTAGTTCAGTTCGCGACATAACGATTCGAACGGCACCGTTTTCTCGATGTTCGGTAGGAAAGACACTGCGTTTGAACTGGCATGAAGGCCGCCGGAACGGATCAATCGTACGTAGCCGAGCGCGTTGCCGATCTGCGTGATCAACTGGCGAAACTGGTCCAAGTAACTCAGCCCGTCGGCTGTCATACCTAGCTTCCGAATACCCTTCTGAAATTTCTCGGCTCGCTCGTACGTATATGGAGTGGCGCCCGCTTCTCGTTGCGTCCGAATGAATCTGATGTCGCGCATTAATCGCGACTTGATGTGCTCATCAAAGAGAAACTGCGAAAAGGTGTGCAGCTTGACACGCAGAAATTGATAGACAAAGTTCACCGTGGTGCTCATAATGCCGGTGCCATGAGTGCGAATCGAGTTAGCGATGTGACGGATACCGATGGTGTTGAGATGTTTATTGCCGCTGCTGTGTTCCACAAACGTCTGCGTATTTAGATTATACAGATACCTACCCCGAGTGACAAAAAAATCGTGATTAATTTCTAATTACACGAATAGAAAAACGTTATCTTTCATTATTTTAATATTTGTATTTTTTTCTATTTAGCAATTCCAGCTACCTTGACACAAACACGTGGATGTTACGCATGATCTCTAGAGCGTCCAGACCCTGCTCGAGTGTCTGAGTTGGCAGATGGTCCTGTACCGTATCCAGGCCCATTTTATAGCTGGCTAACGCGTGCATTGTTCGATAGGTTCTCCAATCGTGCAGGGCCACTGTTGTCAAGTTGTAAAACATGTCGTCTAGATAATGTTCGACGAATCTTTTGGTAGAAACCATGTTCTCAGCCAGGAGTAAAGACGGAATTCGAACCACTCTCCCGCTGTCTTTGGCACCGATGTTGAAGGGATTCATGGAATCCAACTTAAGGTGAGCGTGAACGTGCAGCCGTAAGCTGGTCTCGATTTCATGACAAGCCGGTTTCAACACATTTTTCACCAAACTCGCTCGAAGCTCCTCTATGCATTTTTCTCTCAATTCAGTCGATTCTTGTTCTTCTACGGCGCTGTTAAACGCAGCGAACAGATGAGTGATGTGGCATATGCTGGTGTTACTCTCAACAACCGAGGACAGATACGCGGGCAGCATATTCTGATGATGCAGCAACAATGAGTAATCGCCAAGATCGTCGACCAAATCGTGCAAATCCGCCACGATGTCGTAGCTGTCCAGCAAATACCGCAGCTTCACTACATCTTCTTCGCGACAAATATCAGCCAGTTGACTGGCGCACGACAGCGCACAATGAACCAACAATCGTCTGTCCGCGCTTGCCGGACCGCCTATTAGTCGCATGCTCAACCCTATCAGAGATAGCGCGTCTAGTCGTTCCTTGCTATAGCCCTTGTCTTTCTGAACAAGGCCTTTGCGCACTGTTTCTAGTATAGCTAATACATAATAAGCCAGATATTGCAGCACTTGCGCTTGCGATTGCACCACGATTGGCCCGAGCGAGTAAAACGTCGTTTGCAAAGATTTTTGTAATTCCACAAGTTTGCAGATCAGTTGCACGGTGTTGCGACTCATTGGTTTCAACAATAGAGCGTGTAGATTCGTTAAGAATGAGACCGTTTCACGTATCTGCGATAACAAGAACAGCAAGTCTGTTAACAGCGTATGCTTCTGTCCGATGTCCGATACCTGAAGATTTATTCTCGTCTGAATGTTTTGCATTTCCACGCACCAAGTTGTCGCTCGCTGTATTAGATTGCTTACCACGACCGACAATCTCTGCGTTCTTACCTGTAGAATCTTCTCGCCCACCTGTGGACTCACGACATTACCTGTTTCTTTTGGTACAATGTTGTTCAGGAATTTACTGGGAACCCACATTACGTTCCCTACTAACGTGACTGCATAAAATTTCTTGTTTGCTTCCAACACTCTCTTGATCAGTTTCTTGTCGCAGGTGCCGAATAGCTTTATCACCACTGCGATACCAACATTGGCTCTTACCCAGTTCTTATTCAACATGGCATGATCATTGGACTTAGTCTCCACATCTGTCATCGTGGTTTTCAGATAGCTAGTAATCTGCTCGCTCATCATCGCACCTTTCTTCACGTCCATTACGTGCTCGATCGCCTTCAACAACATATTTCTCCGTAATAGCTTCTCCTGCAAATCCTTAAGTAAGTGATCGAACGTTTCTAATTTCGCCTCGGCAACGCCAAACTGCGATGAATTGTGCATCATCGAACGCACGTGCATTCTGTAGTTTTTCCATTGCTCTACTATCGCCGGCTGCACGTCGACAATCTCATCGAAAGTCATGAGAATTACAAACAGATCTATAAAACTTTCTATCAGAGGAGGCAAGTAAATCTCATTAAAAGTACCAGATAAGCTTGACAATTGTTGTATGGCGAGATGTATGACAGTTGACATCCGATTGACAAAGGTAGAGAGATTCTGAAGATTGGAGAGGAGTTTAGTTATACCAGTGAGATCGTCGTTTGTACATCTCTCTCCTTGTATAAGAAGTTTTCCATAGAAGCCAGTAGCTTCCTTTTTGAGCAGTCTGATTTCTCTGCATGTTCCCGCCACAGCCGCTAGTAACTTGGACAGAACCTTGTTCTCCATCTCCACCAAAGAGAGGATACTGATGTCCTCTTCCGCTTTGTAAACTAGGCGAAGAGGACCTTCTGTAATGTACTCCAGCACGGACTCATTCATCCGAGACTTCTCCACTAAATCTTCAAAAAACTCCCCATATTTTCGCAAATGCATAGCACCCGCGGCCTTGTAAATGCTCTCATCTTTCTTTGAATTCCAAGTTCCTGATGCTTCTATCATTTTTAGGAGCTCACGTATTTAAGTTAATTGCATTGATGTTTAAGTGTGTGCTACAAGGTTATTAACACTGATGCATCCAGAAAGGTTGACAGTTAAATGATACTAAACAGCAAATACAATGAAAATAATACCGCAGGTTTCCTGTTATTTCATTAGATGATAATTTAGATTTAAAACAGTATATCGACTGTCAATATTTCTATCAGCTGATAAAATAGACACAGTACACACACACACATATATATATTATATATATATACGTGATATATGCAAAATATATTACAGATCTAATAATAACTAAATATAAGTGGGAGAGAGAAACATAAAACACTAGATACACTATTATCTGTATTTTGATAATTTTTATCAGCACAGTTTTTATTTTATTTCTATAAACAAGAAAAAAATTTATATAATGCCAATCTTGTTGGCAACATCAAGTGCGTCGTAATCTCGCGTTAAACGCACATACGCTTTTTTCTTGCCGTCTGGTCTAATCAAAGTGTTCACCTTTGCTACGTCAACATCATAAAGCTTCTTTATTGATGCTTTTATGTGATATTTGTTGGCATTTGTGTGCACTATGAAGACTAAGGTATTGTTATCCTCGATTTTCTTCATTGCCGCTTCAGTGGTCAGTGGAAATTTTATGATGTTAAATGCATCCATGCTGAAACACAAATCATAAGATGTAATCGTAGACCAGAAGAAAAGCACATATACATGTTTAAAAGAACATATTTCTTAGGATTTTACCGATTTCTGTTTGGTACAGATTTGCGTGGATATTTGGGATTCCTTGGCGGTCTGAAAGTCTTGGGCCTATGGAAGTGAACAGATGTTCTGATTTTCCGTACTCTGGATCCATGGACTCCTTTTAGGATCTGAAAATACACGAGTATAACTGTTAGAACTTTAATAAGACACATATACATATGAGATACATATTGTGTATATTTTAATACTTCAGAGTGTTAAGTGTTCTCATAGAAAACAAAATCATCTCAAAGAGATTCCCTTACTAAAAATCATCATGTCCAAAAATATTATTTAAAACTGAGCAACAAAATGAACAGAATATACACCAAACTCTATTCAAATACCTTCTTCTGTGCTTTGAGAGCCTTCTGAATGGGAACTGTACGTTTTCCTCCTTTTGGAGTTTTCTTAGGAGTTTGTACAGGTTTTTTGGGCTTGCTGATCAATGGTTTATTAGCAAGCTTGAGTACAGGTTTAGTTGTAGACTTAGCAGCAGCAGGCTTAGCAGTAGCTGCTGGTTTGGTTGCTGCTGGTTTTTTGGCAGCTGCAGGCTTGGCAGCAGGCTTCGTTACCTTAGAGGTAGAAGCTGCTGGAGCTGGCTTTTTTTCCGCTTTCTTCTCTGCAGTTTTCTTTTCTGCAGCCTTGCCTACATTATGCAATCATGATAAAGATTTCGGTAAAAGTTTATCAATAGATAAGAAAAATACATACATAACATTTCCTTAATTCAAAAAAGCAGAGTACTTTTTATTTCATTATCTTTTATAGGTTATAATACAACCAAGTATTGCGTCAAGTAAAATTGTTACAGAAATGTCTCACGTTGCAAGCAAATTACGTAAAAAAACTGTGAGAGTTAACTCTCAATTGCATCTTTTGAATATAATTGTCATTATAAGCACGATGTTGAGAATATCTGTTCGACGAAGGATCATCGACCACATGGTCATCAATGCGTGACACGCGTTCTCGCATTTTGATGTGTTCACAATAATTTTCAATCTTGCGAACAAATTTCTTACTTCGCGAAACGCGAAATCCTATGTAATAAAAAAGTGTTTGAAGCACATAAATAAACGCTGTAAATTTCTTTTGAATTTACCTGTTTTCTCCGTGGACTTCGGTTTAGGAGCCATTTTAAGAAGATTCGTGAGACCAGAGAGAAGAATGAGAGCGGCCAGGCCCATAAGAGTTTTTACGATCGCTATACCGGCCCGTAAGCTAGCGCATGTCCATGGGTGGTGCACATTGGCAACTACGTAGCG